CCCCAAAACCCCAAAACCCCAAAACCCCAAAACCCCTTCAAAACTGCCAAAATTGAATAAATTTAATTTAGTACCAATCATGGACAAGGAAGAAGAGACTAAGAATGAGGATATTGATGAGGAAAAGAATGAATGGGTTAGCCCAGCCCCTGAAACAGGTGAAGGCTTCTATGAAGGAGATCAATCAGAACGCAACCTGTATTGTTATGTATTATAATTATCTAGTAAGAGTCAGCTTGACTGGGAAGATGTAATTGGATTCGTAGAAAAACAGAAGAGGAAATAATGATATGCTTGAGATTGATCAGCGAATTGACCAAGGTACGATCCTATACCATTTATCCACCCAGTTTGTCTTATAGTATCAAAGATTCTTCAGTCTGAAGATCATCTTTAAATTGTTAATATAGATACCAAAGGAACAAAAGCAGCTATCTTAGAAGAAAGACTTAAAATTCAAGAAGAAATTAATCTTAAGCTAGTAGCTAGAATTAAATTACTTGAATATGCATTACAACAGATGTAAATAAATTTATAAACCAATTTAGGAGCTCAAAAAGAAACTCCGGGAGACCAGATCTAGCTGAAGTCCCTTCAGCGTACAACGATCATCTTGGAATTAGACGAGAGAAGCCCCACAAATCAAATATTATGCAATTCCTTGAAGAACTGGGCTATGAAGATATATTTAACTCACAAGAGGCGAAAGAAATAAAAACAATGTTTTCTAAAAATCCTCAGAATATGTCTAAAAATGAAGCAATGCTAGATGCCATCCATAAATTTGATGCCGATTACGATGATGAGATCAAAGAAAATCTTGATGAGGCACAGAGCCAAAATGGAAGTAATGGAGAGGAGCAGAAGGAAGAACAAGTTAGTGATGACAGAGAGATGGGTATAAGAACTAAAGATTTTATGAGATTCAGAGATCATGATACATACTCCCTCAAAGGGCATCTTGACACAGTCAGGGATGGAGCGTTTGTCCCACATTTAGACCAAGCTATCACTGTCTCAGAAGATTGTACTATCAGACTCTGGGATCTCGGCAATATTGATAAAGAAAGTTACAAACATTATGATAATTTTGAGCATAATTATTTTAGTGATGGGTCTGAATTTGCAGGAGACTCATCAAGCTTTTACTCATACTGAACTCTTAGAGGCCATCCAGGCATAGTTACAAAAATTGAAGTTGATAGAATTCAAATTGCACAAGAGCATAAAAATCCTCTGTTTTATACAGCAGGTGTTGAAGGCATTATCAGAGCTTGGAGAGTGCCAAAGCCTGAAGATATAAAACAATTTGAAAATGAGGCTGAATGTACTGCTAAACTCTGTCAATATGTATGGGAAGCTCATTCAGGAGAGATAATATGGGACTTGAAATATCATAATACAGAACCTCTTCTTCTCTCCACATCTGCTGATGGAATAATCTCCTTATGGAATCTTGCTGATTATAAGAAGTTTGAAAAATTAGCTTCAGAAGGATCTAAGATCGAAAATAAGATCCATTCCCAAAGCTTTACTCTAAAAGTGAATGGATCTGAAGTAACTCCAACATGTCTTGATTGGTGAAAAATGAGCGCCAGCTCATTTATAGCTTGATCCAATAACGATATTGCAGGAGCATTTGACTACCACAAAAGTGATCCTGTCTTCACTTTCGAATGTAACGAACCAAGAACTGGTGATCCCTCTTTAAGACAAGTTAACTGCGTGGAATGCCACCCAACCATGAATATAGCTATTACTGGAGCTGAGGATGGAAATATTGGAATATTTGACCTTGAAGCAAAAGGAAAATGCTTGAGGATGACAGAAAATGCCCATACAAGTCCTATCAGCAGCATTGCTATCAACCCTAATGGAATAAATTATGTTAGTTCTAGCCATGATGGAACAATTAGGTTCTGGGATATAAGAATGCAACAGTTGCATCTGAGCTCCTCAAACATGCCAATCTCTACTTCTAATGGCACTAAGATGTATGGTGAAATAGCCTCTTGCCATGACAAAAAGTTTGGAGAAAGCATCTGATCCCTTAAAATGCACAGCACTTTGCCAATCTTGATGTCGTGAGGAGCAGATAGTAATGTAAAATTACATATCGATATAAACATGTAATTCAATCTCTCTCGTGAGTGAGGGGTTTTGGGGTTTTGGGGTTTTGGGGTTTTGGGG